GGGGGGGAGTTTGGATTCAAGGTGTTGATGTCCTTTGCTTGACTTGATCACTTGATTATCTCGATAGGATCCAGCCAAAGACTTGTGGAAACCTCCCGCAATGACCCCACCACAAGAAGAATTGGAGAGAAGTAAACAAGAGAGGATAAAGGAGAAAACAAAACTCACATTCGACAAAATCACCGAAATAAATCCCATCCCCCCAATAGCACCAACCGTCCCAGTTTTATTCACCCAATGATCCCACCCATGAGCAAAGACCTCCACCCACCCCTTCGTCACCAACGCTTGCACCAAGATGAACATGGTAAAAGCAAACGGGATAAGTGCAAAGGGTAAATGGGCGAGAACCGCTGTAACGGTAGGAAAAGTCTCCTGTGCCCAACGGTAATACTCGGCAGTAAGCGAAACCAGCGTCGTCTTTTCAAGTTGCTTATCTGTCCCTGAACCCCGTTCCAAGACGACTGCTTTCTTCTCATTCAAAATCGCATCCTCATTTGGTGTTGGAACCTTTCCTATGACATCGCCTTCTTGCTCCGTCATGGGTGGAGTCTCGAGTCGTGCTCGCTCAGCCTCTTCTTCCTCTCGGATCGCTCGTTGCGCACGAGCATCTTCGATTTCTTGTCGTCCTTTCTTTGCAATCTCCCGAGTGTCTTTGCGATGATGCCACCCAAATCCAATATCCCAGATCAACATCACAAAAGCAGCAGGTAAAGTTACCCAGAAGACTGGATGTGCGCCAGTCTTGGAACTTGATGCATTGAGTGCTAGAAGCGTAACGAGAGTTGCGGTCATGATGACTGCTCCAAACGCAGCTCCTCCTTTGTCGAGAAACGGATTCATGATTTCTTCAAGCGAGAGAAGTTTTCCTTCGCTGTCATCGGCTAACATCTCCTCCTCCTCGGCATTTCCACGCGCGTTTGGGATGTTGGGGTTGACGGGCTTTTTGGCCTTGGCTTCCTCTGATAACTCATGCATCTTGATGGAATAAGGGATCAGAGACTCCTCAGCAAAGATTATGTATAACAAGAAGGGGAAGAGAACAATAGCCGTGATGACGACTGGTACAATCATATTTGCAGTATAATCGATAAACTTGATCTTGAACGCCCCTGCAAGGACAAGATTGGTGGGGTTGGAGGAGACCAAAATTGCGGAGGCGATATTGGCTATGGCGAATTGAGTATGGATCCATGCTCGTGGATGGATGATGTTGCTTGATACTCGTGTCATATACGCCAGGAAAGCGGTTCCAGAAAGAATGATTGGATCATTTCCAATAGCACTACCCAGTAAGAAGAAGAATGCGTAGAGGTAAAAGAATAGACGATGTCCAACTTTGCCTCCTTTCTGTAAGACTTTGAACGCCAAATATCGAATAAGGCCCGAGGCGTCAATGGAAATGGCAATATATGCTAGGGTGATGAAAAAGACCATGATATCCAGAGGCGAGATATTGTTTGCTCCCCAGGTACCTTCTACCACTTCTTGCCTTCCAATGGCCAAGATGGCGAGCAGAAATAAATCTGCTATTAGAGGAGCTGTGAGAAAATCGATGGGAAAACTTAACCGTACTACAGATGATTCTTTATGACGAGAGTGAGAGACATTCTTTCGTGGGGCAATTATTCGTAACTTGCTCAAGGTGTCCAGAAAGGCATTAGATAACTTTCTGGGAACGTAAATGGGTATGTGAAATGGAAAAAGAACAACAACATCTGAGGAAAAGGGTCAGTCATCATGAACTTTTGATAGTAACTAGAATGCATTGCAATGTGACTTTTCATGGGGGGCCAGCCCCCAAACCCCCGTGGCTCGCTGCGCTCGGGAGGTATGATAGTGAAGATACACTTGAGTAAATACAAAATATTTCAACCAAGAAACAACAATAAAATCTGATTGCAGATCTTGGAGGAATCGCACTGTGGACTTCGGAAAGTGAAAAAGAAAATGATGAAAAGAAAGAAATCCTTCAGTGCTTACTAGTAAGAACAAAAACGATCAGGGTGACTATTGACCGCCAGTCTTTGATCTGACCCGTAGCTAAACTCTGTGCCATCTTCCCCCAGCGATGAGGTCTTGCACACCTATCTTGAAGGCGACCAGCCGTCGGGTCGACTGAATGAAGATATTTGCGACGGATAATAATCCCAATTTTGGTATGGCGGAGGTTGGCGTCGATGATCAATGACGCGGGGCGGAAAATGGTTTTGAGCTTCGCCAAGCCTTCTACGGGCCTTCGAGGAGTGAGACGGTGGAGGAAAGTGACAGTGAGTATGTATGGCTGTGGCTGAGTTGGCGCCTACGGATTGCCCTATGCCACAGTAACGAGGCAGGGAGTATTAGTGAGATGTTGGTTGACAGCAACCCCAAGTATTCTGCAGCCCTGGAAAGAGCGCAGTAAGCACTGCACCGTACCGCACCTTCCGTCCTGGTGGAAAGTGATCTGCTGTGCCGCTGTCACTGCCAAAATCTGGTTGCCTGCGCTGCGCTGCGCTACATCATCTATATACAATACTCGAGATACTCCCTACAGTTTGGACTATTGAGATGCCTGCAAGCCCTATTCCTTGACTTCACTTGGCACTCGGCCGCACTTGGCGTACCATCCCAGCATAGACGGGCACCAATTCCCCTATGAGTACAGTGAGGAGCTGGAGAGTGAGACGTCTTCACGTGCATACTGTAATCGAGTACGCCGACCCAGGCTTGGTATCGAGTACGCCGACCCAGGCTTGGTATCGTATTCTATCCTGTACATAAGTATGCAGTCTATATCTATGTCACCTCAGATCTTGGAACGTCTTTCTTCACGTGCTTCACCTTCGACAGGCGAGTCGACAGTATTTATCGCAGCCGTCGTCCACATATGCATCGTCCACATATGCATCCCCTCTCTTGGTCTTCTTGAATTCCCGTGGGTGTGCTCAACCATGAACAGGTCATGCCCGCGATCGCTGCCGTCGACTTGCTACATGCCACAGGCTTCCTTGCCCTGAACAACGACTCAGCCCTATCAGTAAATGGAACCACTACTGCGAACAATACTTCCCCCCTCCAGGTGGTGTGTGCCTGGCCGGTGAGCGGACAGTATGGCCCAGGATCCCGAGTCTTGTCAGTTCCCCCACCATCCACTATCCTCCCCACTTCCCCAAACTCAATCGTAACCTTAGTCGATCACCAGATTGGCGGGCCATCGTTAGCGATGACTAACGTCCACCATTCATCAACACCACGTTTATCGGCACTAACAAGAAGTCTAGATATTATTTGTTGATTGCCGCATGTGTGTTTGCCAGAAAGGCAGAATGGCTCCGCAGTGCCTGCTTGGCGGCAGCGTTACTTTTTCCCACCGTCGCTGCGCTCCATGCCATCGTCCTCGCTTCCGTTCATGTCGATGGAGCCGTTGATATGGATGTCTATGGTGCCTTCCAATTATGTTCCATAGGCATATTGGCTGCTCCAGTTACCGTCAAACTCTCCCGGACGTATTTCTTCGATCCAGGAAGAAACATCATTTTTGTGTGGACCATCCTGATTCTGGCTGGTGAGGAGCCTCTTCACTTCCCCGTCCCTTGACGGTATGCATCCGATGAATCATCCTCAACTAACTTTGCCCAGGTCTCCTAGGTTTGATTGTTGAATTCTTTCGAATCACCCCTACTCCTTGTATGTTCGATAACAACAATGATACTTTCTCCACTCATGCAAGCAATTTTGCGTATGGCAACGAATCGTGTGGCATGCGTTGCACCGTTCAGGATGGCCCAGATTCTCCCCTACGACGTGGATCCGTGAATAATATATATGTCATTCCCGCTCCCGACAAACTCTCATTCGATACCGTCACCATACTGGCTGCGGCATGCTGCATCCCGGCCATCTTATCTCTTGTATCCATGTGGAACAAGATTCTCGAGATTAATTGGAAGAGTAGATATGGGAATAGAAACACCGAATTGTTTGATGAACCCATTGAGGGTACCAATGGTGCAACCCCCAATAGTATGAAACGAATCAATGAGGTCGCGAGGATGTTCGTGAGCACCATCGAAATCCCGTTATTTGGAGCCGCCGTGCTTACTATTATGATTCTGGGTGAGCTGAATTTTTTCAGCGCCCAAGTTAATTATCAAACCGAACCCATCGCCAGTATTGGTATGCAAATTTAGAGCCATAGAATATGGATTATAGCTAACCACATGTAGGTCAATGGGCACCAATCGTCGGTTCTGGGTTGGCCGTACTTGGCTCATTGTATATTCTCTGGGCAACCGACGGCGAGGAAGAGAAGCAAAGAATCATGCGTATGAATGAAGCTGAGATGCAACAAGCAACCGGTCCTCGTTCTACTTCTTCCAATTCAGATCTCCCAGCCACTCCAAATTCGGAATTACTACATCCCGAAGAATTACTACCTCCAAGTAGGCTTACAAGACTAGCAACTCCCGCATCAACCTCAAGTGGCTGGAGGACCGATGCAGGAAACCGGAAAAAGATTGCCAAAACATTAAACAAGATAGGGACCTACATTGGAACCGCCGCACCAGATCGCTTCGACGACTCAGAATTCAAACGTGGACTATCCGCCAACTTCCCTGAAATCCCAGGCGAGCCGAACCGAAATCCTGGACTAAATCGTATCAGAGAGGCCTACAATCCCGAACGCGACGCCGACGGGTTAGCTACAAGATCACATTCGAGAGCCGCCAGTCCCGCACCATCTCAAAGGACCGTTCGAGGGAATTCCTCCATCGACGAACCACGGCCCGAGGGAGTCGAGCGTGGGAGAACACCTGTACAGAGGAGGAGGGCAACGTTGGAAGTTCCTCTGGCTTCACCTATTCATCAGAGCCATACGAGGAATTCGCCGTCTTGGAACTCGATACCTTCTACTATTACGGTGGAGAATGCGGATTGTCCCAGTTCGCCTACCATTGTGGTTTCAACTGAGCCGGATGATGTGGAATTGTCTTGAATGCTGATCGTACAGAGGCTCGAAGAGTGGAATCTTATAATATATTTACGGCGATATAACACATTGATGGTAATATCCCTATTTGTTCCAGCGCCAAGTCGGTACTTGGTACGCGTTATCGGGCTGCTAGGACCGCATGAGAAGAAACGTCGATTCAAGAAATTTGGAAGGAGGATATGATGGAAGAACATAGGATCAAGGCAGAAGAAGATGAAGCAATCATATAGTCAGGAATAACCGGACTTTCTTTACCAGGGGGTTTTTCGTGTTTTGGTAGAGAAAAGTACGATGATAATATCTAGGTACATGCATTTAGATAGTTAGAGTATTAGATGTGAAGCTTTTAGCGCTCTGTAATATTACTTGTTTAGATTATATTTATACAGGTATAGACTATAGACATGTATATACATATATTTAAAGAACTAGAAAATAGTTATTACCTTATCAAAGAACTTAAACTAGCTTAGAAGTAGCTTAGCTAGTATCTACAAGAATAACCAGCGAATTAAAATTCGATATAAAGTACCTGTGTAAATTTACAAGTACAAGAAGTTTGTTTCTAATTACAGTATACGGAAGGAAAAAAGAATCAGAAGAAGAAAAATGATACACCGCGCGCAAACAAGGGAGTGGTTGAATGGCAATGGCAAGGTGGGTATCCGGGAGTTGGGAGACGGGGAAATGTGATGTGTTTCCCGCAGGCTTGGATTGCCATCCTGATACGTTGAGCTACGCTATCCTTCCCGAGCCGTATCGTTTCGTTGAGTGGCTACCGTGGTTTGTTTACTTGCCGTTTTGGTAATTAGTAATATATGATATCTACTCTTGCACGCGTCGATTCTACCTAGGTAGAAAAGGGAGGAAGGTAATTCAACGTTTACAAGTAAACAGACTCCCCTCCCCATTGCAATTTCAACCTCGGCTCTGCGCAACACACGTGAATCGGCGGCCTACTCCCATCCTTGCCGTCGTTGACATCCTTGACCGACCCCGTCGATTCCTCGGATAGGGCCTCTTAGAGCGCGCCTCACAACGCCATCCAAACCTCTAAGACCAAAACTAAATTCCGCTCGTAGTTCGTCTTCCCAGCCATGACTTCCCCGCCTCCCAAGGTCGAAACACAAGAACCACAACCCCAAGAAATCCCTCCCTTCCCCTACAATCCCGCCATCACTCTGGGCGGACGACCGGCCGCCTCCACACCCGCCATCACTACCAGCATCAACGCTCCATTGCAATCCACCGCCAATCTCCATGTCGCCTCCCATCCCAATCCCACCACCGCCCCCAATGCAGAGTTAGATGCCAATGCGAGTATTGAGATAGCGGATTCCACCACCGCCGACAACACGAATGACATTGCCTACCGCAGCTCCTCTGCCCGTCGCAGACATGGCCCGGATTCGAGTCTGCGAGATCTCCAGGCGCTCCAGGAAGTGCGAAGCATTCCCTGGATCCCAGGACGCGAATTACCACCTGATAAATCGACCGAGAGTCCGCGCGCGCAGACGAGAGGCGCATTCATGTTGTCGACGCGGGGGAAGATAAGGGATCCGCCTTGTAACCATTGTACCAGTGGGTCGGGCAGGTTCTCGGTGTGTGTCTCCTTGGACAGTTGGTTCTTTGGCGCGTGTGCGACTTGTCAGATGGCGACGAGGGGGCATTTGTGTAGTTTGAGGACGGCTGCGAATGGTTTGTTTGTCTTGGATATATCTTCGTTGGACCAATTGGGAGAGTGGTGCTAATTCTGGTTGGTACAGGTAGTCCAGTTCCTCGAGCTCCGAGACAACAAGTCTTCAAAGTCTTGGATCCTACTCCTACTCCTCCTCCCCAAGACCGACCTATATCTACACAACAATATCAAGCACCCCCAAACACCAATAGCTTAAAGCGTAAAGCAGACGAGCCAATGATGCCCGGAATGCGAGTGCTTCAACCACGGGGAGACAACTACCCACTCATTGCGCCGGCTCCTCAAAATGCCACTCAATCACATATACAACCACAACCACAGCAAAATTCCGGATATACACCCACAAATAGTCGCCCTAATACTTCATCGCCTGGCTACTTTTCAGAAAGACCTGTGAATAATAATATCACGAATACCGCGAGTACGAATACATATCAATCACAACCTCAACCGCAGGCTCAGGCTCAGGCTCAGGCTCAGGCGTCCAATGGCATAGCAATGTCTTCTTGGAACAACATAAACGCCAGCAATATAAGTACGAGCACAAGCCGACAAGATTCAACACCTTACCCACAAAAAATGTCAAAACCAAGTCTAGACCTCAAGAACCCCACCAATCTAAATGGCAACCCATCAAATCCAAATCATCCATACACACACTCCCCTACACTAACAAACAACCCTCCCCATCCTCACCCAAATCACCCTTCCCAAAATATTTCCTATCCCCCACAAAACTCAAATCCTCCTCATCTTCAAAATCCCAATACCCAATCTCAACCCCAACCTCAACCTCAACCCCAACCTCAACCTCAACCCCAACCTCAACCTTCACAACCCCAGTCCTCGCGATCACGCACCTTAACCTCACCCGAAACATCTCTCATCGACTCCATCCCCCGCAAGAAGCAGAAGCAGATCTTTGGAATCATCGGGGGCTTGCAGAGCGGGATTAGAAGTGTCCGTCAGCAGGCGGAGAATCTGCAGAGGCAATTAGATATTTTGCAGAGTGCTTTAGGGATTGATAGCGAGGATGAGACGGAGGAGGGAGCGAGTTGACTTAGCTTTGTGGACGAGGATTAGGTTGAAGGATGGTGGGCAAGAGGGTAATGGGGTAGGAATTGAGGGGATGTAGGGGATGGTTATATATATATACCTAATATTTATCATCTCCAAATTTTACCACCCTTGCTAATTTGAAGAAAGGAAGATGTCTGTGTTTGCGTTTGTGTTTGTTGATGAGATGATGTTGATGGACCATTCCCGGATGTTCTCTGCTATAGCACGCTACCTACCTATGCTATGCCCAGGAGGATTCTGCGGGGATGGATGCAGTGCTGTAGAGTGGAGTGGAGTGGAGATTTGATGGGGGTTTTTCGGAATCTGGGGAAATCTGGGGTAACATATGTACGATAAGATACTGTATGGTACAGTATCTCCACTTCTACTTTTTCTACTCCACTCCTAGCGATATATTTTGGGATTTCGTGAAGTTTTATACGGTATGTAATGTGTAATGTGTAATGTGTAAGAATATCAAACAAACATTCGCAAATAATGAGGAAGTTTTTTCTAGGCGAAGGAAGACGAGTGCTTGTGCTTGTGCTTGTATAGTACTTGATGGAATTTTGGGAGGATGTTGGAATGAATCGCTATAGTAAGGTATCCCTTCCCCTCCTCATCTTGGGTTTTAATACAATGACCGATGGAAAAGTACTGTACTGTACTGTAGGAGATAGAAGGGGGATGGGTTATTGTGGGGATAGGACGTGTGGAAGGACTCCGAGGGAGGAAAATTTGTTAATTGTGTTGGGACGGATTGGTGACTTATGGGTGAGTAATATTATATCTCTTTAAGTACTAATACATACCTACCTACCTACCTACCTACCTACCTATCTATTTCCCTTCCCAACCTCCAACCACACACTCATCTCAACCCCTAAACCAAACTACCCTCCCCATCCACCTCCCCATCTCAATCTTTTTACTCCACCCCACAAATCGCCCAACAACCCTACAAACAACACCACAAAAACCCATGAACCAACCCCCACCCGCAATCATAGACCCTAAGCAAAACCCCAATACCCTCATCTCAAACGACTAATCACTCATCCAACCAGCTGCTCTTAATAATTTGGGTCCGCGTGGATGGATTGTACTAGGCTGAACCTTTGGTGGAGGATGTGATGAGGAGGATTGGGGGGGGGGCAGATGGATGGGGAGGGGAGAGGTAGGGGGTTTTT